GGAGGCGTCTCAGTTGGTGACGATGAAGATCTCCAAACATCTAAACAAGGTATTCTTCCTACAAAAAGCTACACAGAAAGATTGAGCGCAGGAGCCAGTTTGCCCCATTGTGTCTTTGCCGTTCGCTGACTCGGTTTTCTTTTTTTGTCTTTAATCCACTTTCCAATTCCATCCCTCGGTGTTGCTCTTATTGATGCTCTGAGTGAAGGAATCTCTTGTAGCCTCTCGCATCTGGTGACCCTCCCCAGAGCTCCAGCTGTTAGTCTGGCTCAGGTCAGCCACTTCCTGACCCAACTGTCCAGCGCCTTGGGACATCCTCCCGACGTGAATGGCGCTCTATAAATGGAATCTTGTTGTCCTCACCTCTGCAATGTGGCTTCAAGATGCAAATCGGGACTTTGAGTTCACAGTCCAGTTACTGGGGAGCGCAGAGCACTGCTGTGCCACACGCCCCGCTGTGCCAATTCAGATAGACGTTAAAGATCCTATGAGCATCTTTAGAAAAAATACTTATATTTGATATTAGCCTTACCCACATCCTGACCTAGACCAAACCGCGTACCCCCATCTCAACAGTTCTGGCCCAGGCTCCACTGGCTCCCCATCAATTTGCAGTATCGTCACCAGAATAACTGGGGAAGACAGAAAAATTCCCTTCTCTTTTGGAATAGGATAATGGGAATTTTAACGTCCACCTGATCAGGCCTGGCCGGGGGCTCAGTTTAGCATCTCATCCGAAGGATGGCACCTCCAACAATGAAACCTATCTCAGCACCAAAATAAGTTTTTCCTAGTGTCCTGCCCAGCAGTTCACTTCACCATCCATGGCTGCACTCTTCACTTCACTAATCCGAAACCTCTGTGTCCTTTTCGACCCTCGGCTACCCATCAAACCTTACATTTGTGCCGTGACCGGTTCAGCCTTACCCGTCTCCGCAACATTGCCCCCCTCTGCCACTGCCTCTCACCACAGGCTGCCAAGACCCTGATCCACGCTTTCATTACGTGCCGAGTTGACTACACCAACTCTTCCCTCCACAACCTGCAGATCATAGAACCATACAGCACAGAAAGAGGCCATTTGGCCCATCGTGTCTGCACCAGCTCCTAAAAGCTTCCAACTCAATCCCACTGGCCCGCTTTCTCTCCAAAGCCCTGCAATCCCGTCCTCCCCAAATACCCATCTACTTCTCTCTTAAAAGTTGTTCTTGAATCAGCTTCCACCACTCTTTCAGGTAATGCATTCCAGATCCCAACAACTCACTGTGAAAAATGTTTTCCTCACCTCCCCTCTGTTTCTTTTAACAACTATGTTAAATCAGTGTTCTCGGGTTACTGACCCACATGACAGTGGAAACAGTTTTTCCCGGTTCAACCTATCAAATCATCTTATGATCTTGAAAACCTCTATTAAATCCCCTCTTAATCTTCTCTGCTCCAGGGAGAATAATCCTAGTTTCGCTAACCTCTCCTCATAACTAAATCCTTCATTCCTGGTACCATCCTGGTAAACCTCCTCTATGCCCTCTCCAATGCCCTAACATCTTTCCTAAAGTGCGGTGCCCAGAACTGAACGCAGTCTCCAACTGAGGCCTAATCAGCAATTAATAAATATTCAACAAAACCTCCTGACTTTTGTATTCTATGCCCCTATTTATAAAGCAGAGTATCCCGGATGCTTTTCTAACAGCTTTATCTACCTGTCCTGCCACCTTCAGAGATTTGCTGATGTGGACCCCCAGGTCTCTCTGTTCATTTTAAGATTGTACCATCAGTTTATATTGCTTCTCCTCATCCTTCCTACCAAAATGCAACACTCCGCATTTCTCCACATTAAACCTCATCTGCCACGTTTCTGTCCATTTTACCAATCTGTGTAAGTCCTCTTGGAGTCTGGTGCTGTACTCCTCACCATTAACTACTTTTCCTGGCTTAGTATCGTCTGCAAATTTGGAAATTGTGTTCCCTATATCCAGGTCCAGATCATTAATATAGATCAGAAAGAGCAGTGGTCCCAAAATTGACCACTGAGGAACACCACTATACACCTCCCTCCAGTCATAAAAACAACTGTTTACTACCACTCTCTGCTTTCTGTCTCCGAGCCAGTTCTGGATCCATGTTGCCACAGTCCCTTTAACACCGTGGACTTCTATTTTGTTTATAAGTCTCTTATGTGGCACTTTGTCAAATGCCTTTTGAAAATCTAGATAAACTACGTCTACTGCACTACCTTCATCCACCCTCTCAGTCACTTCATCAAAAAATTCTATTAGGTTTGTCAGACACGATCTGCCTTTAACAAATCCGTGTTGACTGTCCTTTATTAAACAATATTTTTCTAAGTGAGAATTTATATTGTCCCGGATTATAGTCTCCAGAAGTTTCCCCACAACTGACGTTAGGCTGACTGGCCTGTAGTTCTCAGATTTATCCTTCTGCCCCTTTTTGTACAGGAAAGTAACATTTGAAACCTTCCAGCCCTCTAGCACCACCCCGGTGTACAAAGACCATTGAAAGATTGTGGCCAGAGCTTCCGCTATTTCTACCCTGGCTTCCCTCAGTAACCTTGGATGCATCCCATCCGGACCAGGTGACTTATCCATGTTGAGCATTGACAGCCTTTTTATTACCTCCTCTCTGTTGATTTTTATCATATCCAATTTCTTTTCACTCGCCTGTAATATTGTGGCATTCATTGCATCGTCTTCTTTTGTAAAGACAGTTGCAAAGTACTTACTCAGTACATCAGTCTCAACAAGAAGATTTCCACTTTGGTCCCTAATGTGGAGTCCTGTAGCTCAGTGGTTAGAGCACTCGCTTTGCAAGTGAGAGACCGGAGTTCAATTCCAGGCAGAGGGCGAAACCTTGGGCAAGTTTCCTTACTCCACACAGAGCCTCATAATAATCCCTCCAAAACAAAAAACAATAATAAATTGGTCATTTTCATTCTACGACTGTTTGTGGGACATTGCAGTGCGCAATTGGCTGCCGCGTTCGCCCACAAATATACAGTCAATTCACTTTACAGTGTTCTGTGAAGCGCTTTGGGATGTCCTCCTGACATGAAAAGCGCTATATCGAATGCAAGGATTATTATTATTATTATTAATTGGACCCACCCCACCTTTGACTAACCTTTTACTCTTGATATGCTTATAAAATACCTTAGGGTTCGTTTTTATGTTTCCTGCTAATCTTTTCTTGTACAATCTCTTCGCCCTTCTTATTTCCTTTTTCACTTCTCTGTACTTCCTATATTCCATTGATTATCCTGTGTGTTTTCGACCTGACATTTGACATAAGCCTCCTTTTTCTGTTTTATTTTAATCCCAATTTCCCTAGTCATCCAGGGAGGTTTGACTGTCCTATCTTTCCCCTTTGTGGGAATGTATTCGCTCTGACCCCGAACTATCTCCTCCTTGAAGGCTTCGCATTGTTTGCTGCCTTATCTGCCAATCTCTCTTTCCAATCTATCTTGGCCAGGTCCCTTTTTAGCTCACTGAAATTATCCCGCTTCCAGGTGAGGGCCTTTACCTTTGATTGATTGTTGTCCTTTTCCATAACTATTCTAAACCTAATGATATTGTGATCACAGTTACCCAGATGCTCTCCTACTGAAACCTGCTCCACTTCATTCCCCAGAACTAAATCCAGTGCTGCTTTCTTCCTCATTGGGCTGGAAACATGCTGATTCAGAAAGTTATCCTGCACACATTTCAGGAATTCCTCTCCTTCCTTGCCCTTTACACTGTGTGTTTCCCAGTCTATGTTAGGATAATTGAAGTCCCTCATTATCACTTCTCTATTGGTTTTGCATCTCTCCGAAATCTGCTTGCAAATTTGCTCATCTATCTCCTTCCCATTATTTGTTGTCTACAGTAAATACCTAACCGAGTAACAGCTCCTTTTCTACTCCGTAACTTTAACCAAATAGGTTCCGTTTTTTGGACCCTCTAACATATCATCCTGTTCCAGGACCATGTCCCTAATGAGTATTGCCATCCCGCCTCCTTTTTTCCCCTTCCCTATCCCTCCTGAATAGGTTGTAGCCAGGAATATTCAGCTCCCATTCCTGTCCTTGCTTGAGCCAAGTCTCAGTAATTGCTACCTCATCATAGCCCCATATGGCAACTTGAGCCGCAGCTCACCAAACTTATTGATCACACTCCATGCATTTACACACATGCACTCCAAAACCGGCTTAATCCGCTCTACATTTCTCTCCTGTCTCTTTCCCCTTTTTGCTGGACTATTCCTTGTTTCATTTCTATTTGCTTCTCCTCATCCACTATGTAACTCGTTTCCTCTCCCTGATGCTACATTCTGATCCCCATCCCCCCTTGAAATCAGTTTAAACACTTCCCCACAGCATTTGTTATCCTTGTTGCAATGACATTGGTCGCAGCCCTGTTCAGGTCTCAGGTGTAACCCATCCCTCGTGCACAGGTCCCATCTGCCCCAAAAGTGGTCCCAGTGGTTTAGAAACCTGAAACCCTCCTTCCTGCACCATTTCTCTAGCCAGACATTCATGTGTTTGATCCTCCCAGTTTCACTTGCAAAAGGCATTGGTAGTGATCCCGAGATCACCACCATTGAGGTCCTGCTGTTTAGCTTCTTCCCAAGCTTCTGATATTCTCCCTGTAGGGTCTCAGTCCTTTTATCACCTACATCATGGATCCTGACATGGACCACAACTTCCGGATTTTCTCCTTCTCCCTGTAGTATATTTTGTACCCGTTCCATGATGTCCTGCACCCCGGCCCCAGGGAGGCAGCATACCAGGCACGAGTCCCGTCTTTTATGGCAGAAACAACTGTCTATCCCTTTAACTTTTGTATCCCCGATAACAACAGTGTTGGCATTTTTCCCCTTATCTCCCTGAACATCCATTACCTTTTGACTCTTCTCGCCAGTGGCGTCCTCCCTGGTATCCAGTACCGAGAGCCGGTTTGTGAGTGCCACACTCACAAATCTTGTTGTTGTTGTTAGGGGATTTCCATACTGTCTGTTTTTTTTTGCTCTACATCAGATTGTCACCCACTCACCCTTCTTCTGAGCTCCCTGTGGCTGTGGGGTGACCACCTCCTGAACTCCCTGTGGCTGTGGGGTGACCACCCACTGAACTCCCTGTGGCTGTGGGGTGACCACCCACTGAACTCCCTGTGGCTGTGGGGTGACCACCTCCTGCACCCTCTGTGGCCGTGGGGTGACCACCTCCTGAACTCCCTGTGGCTGTGGAGTGACCACCTCCTCAATCCATAAATTCTTCAGCCTCCCATATCTTATGTAGTGACTGTAGTCCCTCCTCAAGCTCAGTGACCCTGAGCTCAAATAGTCAGAGGCACCTCCTATACACATTTGTCCAGAACACATGAACCATCCTGGAGTCCCCACATGGCACACAGTGAGCATGGAATGGGTCTTAGCTGCCCTGCCAGGTTTTCAGACATGTTTTGTAATATACCTCAATAGTTTCAGGGTAAATTAATTTCACACCTTTTATTCCCTTGCTCACACTCATATACTAAACACCTACTCACAGGAATGTGACCTTTTGTGCAGGCTCTTGGAGGTTTTGTTTCTCCTTTACAAGTTCTCACCTGCACCCAATTCCCAAACAGAATTCTCACTCCAACCCCTCCTCACACTCCTGGGCTCTCTATTCAAGTGAGGCTCTCACGAGTCTTCCCCTTTATATAGGACTCAAACAAAAGCACTGTTTTGACTGGTCAGCAACTGAATGAATCCCCAACACCTGGTTATGATTAATTGCTAATCCCCTTGCTTCCATATGAGTTTGCCCCGACCTCAGCAAAGCTTTTCTGCTCTTTGGCTGAAAGAAAGTTATCTCTGGCAGCTCTCTGATTGCTCTCTTGCTCTCTAGTAGCTCCCTGGTTGTTCTCTTGCTCTCTGGTTGTTCTCTGGCTGCTCTATTTCTCTCTGGCATTTTTCTAGTAGCTCTCTGGCTGCTCTCTTGCAGACCTCTCGTTGGGGAGCTCTCGGGTTGCTGTCTTGCTGAAAAATTCCCACTAATTCACAAACAGAATTCTCACTCTGTTCCTCCTCACTCCATTCTCTCCTCACCCCTGTTCTTGCCCGGTTTCACTTGCTCCCCATTCCACAGAGAATTGAGTACAAAACCCTTGTGTGGACCTCCATGGTCCTTCTCCACCCCCCCCTCCACCACCACCTCTCTGACCTCATAACCCCATGTCAGCCTCTGCGCTCCCTCCGCTCAGCAGACAACTAACGCTGCTTCAGGTCCCCCTTCACTTCCCGCCCCACCATTGTCGGTCGGGATTCAGCATTTCTGCTTCCACCCTCTGGAAATCTATCCCACAATCCCTCTGTCTCACCCACTCTCTTGCCTCCTTCAAGTCCCGTCTGAAGACCTTCCTCTTCATGCATGCCTTTGGTCACCCCTTACCCTCTTTCCCTTCTGACCCCAACTCCTAGCAGGGGCTCCAAACCCTTGATTGTCCAGTGCCCTGGGACGTCTTCCCGACGCGAAGTTGCTCGCTAGACAACTAATTTGTAGTTGTAGTTGTTATCATGCCCTGTTTGCGGGAAGTGGCTGCCGACAAATACTGACACTGAAAAACGCTGACTGTGTTTACGGTCACCTCCTCCCGGCTTGGTTTCAGACTCTGCCACTGTTAAGCCCTCCAGAACGCTACCCTGTGTGTTGTAGCTCTCTTGCTCTCTGGTAGCTCTTGCAAGTTGTTGATACTCCACTTAACAGTAATTACTGTGAAGCCTTTTGAAGTGTTTTGACTTCATCAGGTGCTGTAAAAAAGGAAGGGTTAAAATTAGTCAAACAGTAATTCCTAAAGAAAACTGATATGTTGCTTATACAGATCTTTTTGTTCTCCCATCAGCACCCAGCTTGGCTAATTCTGAGGCTCACCCTTGCCCTCATTGTAAAATTGTGTTTACTCATGCCGAGTTCCTTCAGAAACACAGCAGAAGACATCCTGAGCTCTGTCGAGACACATCAGCTACACAATCAGTTTGTAGCATAAATGTTTCTTCACAGCAGAGAGAGTGTCAGGGATCTGTCACATATACTGTTGGAGAAAAGGGGTTTGCACAGTCGGGATATCTGCAGAGTCACCAGCGATCGATCTCAGGAGAGACACTGTATATCTGTGCCGAATGTGGGAAGAGTTTCACAAAGTTTGGGAACCTCCAGAGACACCAACGATCACACACAGGAGAGAGACCCTTTCAATGTGCCAAATGTGGAAAGAGTTTCACTCAGTCAGGCCACTTCCAAATTCACCAGCGATCACACACAGGAGAGAAACCGTATAGATGTGCTGAATGTGGAAAGTGTTTCACAAGTTCAGGGAACCTTCAGACACACCAGCGATTACACACAGGAGACAGACCTCATAAATGTGTTGAATGTGGAAAGAGTTTCACAACGTCAGTGGAACTCAAGATACACGAGCGATCACACACAGGAGAGAGGCCATATAAATGTACTGAATGTGGAAAGAGTTTCACATCTTCAGGGGTGTTCCAAAGACACCTACGATCACACACAGGAGAAAGACCGTATAAATGTGCCGAATGTGGAAAGAGTTTCACGCAGTCAGGGGTGCTCCAGAGACACCAGCGATTGCACACAGGAGAGAAACCGTATAAATGTGCTGAATGTGGAAAGAGTTTCACAACATCAGGGTATCTCCAGAGTCATCAGCAATCACACACAGGAGAGAGACCATATAAATGTGCTGAATGTGGAAAGCGTTTTACATATTCGGGGAACCTCCAGAGACACCAGCGATCGCACAAAGGAGAGAGACCGTATAAATTTGCTGAATGTGGAAAGAGTTTCACATCTTCAGAGCAATTCTAGGTTCATCAGACACATGGCAGAGACACCATAAAAATGAACTGAACGTAGAAAGAGTTTCACTGAGTCAGGGAGTCACCAGCGAGGGCACACAGGAGAGACTCTATAAATGTGCCGAATGTGGAAACAGATTAGCTCACTCCCTAGCAGAAGAAAGATCACAAAGATACCGTTCTCTGAAAGATACTGTTACTATCAGAAAGCTTTCCAGGAGCTGGTAATGTTCAAAACTCTTTTTAGCTTTGAGAAGTGAAGGAATAACAGTAACATTTTGACATGTACAGTACATATATATACTTGATCAAACACCAGTGTAAGCAATCCCAGAATTCTGAGTTGACTTAAATTGACCAAAGAAAATCACAAAGATTCATGGACCTGTTCAATTCATAAAAGTTGACTGACCATATGATGTAAATGTACGAAGCTCAAGGACATTGGAAAACAAGTGAAAGAATATTTACAGAACAGTTTCCTCAGCATCATAAGGTTTTTAGTTACACAATGGATGTTAAAAATAACTTATTTCTGTGGTACTAAAACTTGTTTGAAACAAGGGGACATGGAGGAGGAGGAGGATTGCAGCCAAGCAGATGTTTTTAATCATTGAGATAAAGACATCTAGGATCTCTTCGCAGTTGGCATTGGACGTGAGGTTGGAGGAAGTTTGTTGGGTGTCAGGAGGAGGTGATGAATCATTGGAGAATCCCATCTTTGGATTGGTTTTGGCCTCCAGAACGGTTTTGGAGCAGAAAATAGTTGGGGCCTGGAAGAGGGCGAGATGAAAGCCCTCCATCTCGCCCACAAAATATACAGTCAATTCAATTTACAATATATTCTGTCAAGCGCTTTGAGACTTGTCGAAGATGTGATAAGACGCTGTATCAAATGCCAGGATTATTATCATTATTGATGGGTACGGAGATATAGCCACAGCTGTGGTGAATTGTGAGGCCATATTTGTGCCATCTGTGCTTGACTGTTCGGATTTGGGTTTTAAGGGAGTGGAGATGTCTGCTATACGAGGGGGAGCAGGTGAGTTTGGAGATGGCCCTTGGGTTTAGGGCAGCAACGGGTTTGCAGATTGCAGGGAGGCGATCGTTTAGGAGAGGACAAAAATCAACCTTTATAATGTTAGTTTTCTGCCATAATTGTATCAGAGTTTTACCCAATGCTTGAACTATTTTTCAAAATGTCATAAAATGTTTGCTTCCCAGTTGCACCTTAGAATACAACAGTCAGGAAGTTATGATGAACCTTTATATAAAACACTGGTTAGGCCTCAGTTAGAGACTGTGGTCAGTTCTGGGCCCCACACCTTAGGAAGGATGTCAAGGCATTGGAGAGGGTACAAAGGAGGTTTACCAGGATGGTACCAGGAATGAGGGACTTCAGTTATCAGGAGAGACTGGAGAAGCCGGGATTATTCTCCTTGGAGCAGAGAAGGTTAAGAGGAGACCTAATAAAGGTATTCAAAATTATGAGGGGATTCGATACGATGAACAAGGAGAAACTATTCCCACTGGCGGGAGGGTCGGTAACCCGAGGGCACCGAGTTAAAGTAGGTGTTAAAAGAAACAGAGGGGAGGTGAGGAGAAATGTTTTCACACAGCGATTATTGGGATCTGGAATGCATTGCCTGAAAGACCGGTGGAAGCCGATTCCATAACAACTTTTAAGAGAGAAATAGATAATTATTTGGGGAGGACAAATTTGCAGTTTGTGTGTGTGTTGCTATACAGTCAGACTGTGTGTGTGTTGTTCTACAGTCAGACTATGTGTGTGTGTTGCTCTATAGTCAGACAGTGTGTGTGTGTGTGTTGCTCTACAGCCAGACTGTGTGTGTTTGTGTTGCTCTACAGTCAGACTTGGTGTGTGTGTTGCTCTACAATCAGTCTGTGTGTGTGTGTGTTGCTCTACAGTCAGTCTCTGTGTGTGTGTGTTGCTCTACAATCAGTCTGTGTGTGTGTGTGTTGCTCTACAGTCAGACTGTGTGTGTTGCTCTCCCTTCAGACTGTGTGTGTGTGTGTGTGTTGCTATGGAGTCAGACTGTGTGTGTGTGTGTGTGTGTTGCTATGGAGTCAGACTGTGTGTGTGTGTGTGTTGCTATGGAGTCAGACTGTGTGTGTGTGTGTGTGTTGCTCTACAGTCAGACTATGTGTGTGTGTTGCTCTACAGTCAGACTGTGTGTGTGTGTTGCTCTACAGTCAGACTGTGTGTGTGTTTTGCTCTACAGTCAGACTGTGTGTTGCTCTACAGTCAGACTCTGTGTGTATGTTGCTCTACAGTCAGACGCTGCATGTGTTGCTATGCAGTCAGACTCTGTGTGTGTGTTGCTGTGCAGTCAGACTGTGTGTGTTACTCTACAGTCAGACTGTGTGTGTGTGCTACTCTACAGTCAGACTGTGTCTGTGTGTTGCTGTACAGTCAAACTGTGTGTGTGTGTGTGTGTTGCTCTACAGTCAGACTGTGTGTGTTGCTCTACAGTCAGACTGTGTGTGTGTGTGTTGCTCTACAGTCAGTCTGTGTGTGTGTGTGTTGCTCTACAGTCAGACTATGTGTGTATGTTGCTCTACACTCAGACTGTGTGCGCGTGTGTTACTCTACAGTCAGACTGTGTGTGTGTGTGTTGCTCTACAGTCAGACTGTGTGTGTGTGTTGCTCTACAGTCAGACTGTGTTGCTCTACAGTCAGACTATGTGTGTATGTTGCTCTACACTCAGACTGTGTGCACGTGTGTTACTCTACAGTCAGACCGTGTGTGTTGCTCTACAGTAAGACGCTCCGTGTGTTGCTCTACAGTCAGACGCTGCGTGTGTTGCTATGCAGTCAGACTCTGTGTGTGTGTTGCTATGCAGTCAGACTGTGTGTGTGTGTTGCTCTACAGTCGGACTGTGTGTGTGTTGCTCTACACTCAGACTGTGTGCGCGTGTGTTGCTCTACAGTCAGACTATGTGTGCATGTTGCTCTACAGTCAGACGCTGCATGTGTTGCTATGCAGTCAGACTCTGTGTGTGTGTTGCTATGCAGTCAGACTGTGTGTGTTGCTCTACAGTCAGACTGTGTGTGTGTGTTGCTCTACAGTCAGACTGTGTTGCTCTACAGTCAGACTATGTGTGTATGTTGCTCTACACTCAGACTGTGTGCGCGTGTGTTACTCTACAGTCAGACTGTGTGTGTGTGTGTGTGTGTGTGTGTTGCTCTACAGTCAGACTGTGTGTGTGTGTTGCTCTACAGTCAGACCGTGTGTGTTGCTCTACAGTAAGACGCTGCGTGTGTTGCTCTACAGTCAGACGCTGCGTGTGTTGCTATGCAGTCAGACTCTGTGTGTGTGTTGCTATGCAGTCAGACTGTGTGCGCGTGTGTTCCTCTACAGTCAGTCTGTGTGTGTGTGTGTGTGTGTTTACTCTACAGTCAGACTGTGTGTGTGTGTGTGTGTGTTTTGCTCTACAGTCAGACTGTGTGTGTTGCTCTACAGTCAGACTATATGTGTATGTTGCTCTACAGTCGGACTGTGTGTGTTGCTCTACAGTCAGACTGTGTGTGTGTGTTGCTCTACAGTCAGACTGTGTCTGTGTTGCTCAACAGTCAGACTGTGTGTGTGTGTTGGTCTACAGTCAGACTGTGTCTGTGTGTTGCTCAACAGTCAGACTGTGTGTGTGTGTTGGTCTAA